CGTGTGCGCCAGCTGACTGTGGTTTACGTGCCAATATTTAAGTACATTGATTGACCATCTAGTCAGTAATAATGAGGAGTTTCAAATGGATGCCAGGATTGCTTAGTTTACAACTATTTACCTAAATTCCTCTATTCTGTTCGAACCCTCTCAATCTAGAACTGAGAAAGCGTATTTCAGTTTACAAATACAGGTTAGAATATCGTATACATTGTTGCAGAAGCTTGGTTTTAAGTTGTTTTTTACCCGATTCACAGTATATGGTATATTACAAATGTTACACTCTTTCTCCATCATTCCCATAATGTTCTTCAATCGCCTGGTCGATATAATTGAATCTTGGTCTGCGCATTTGCTCTTTCCATGTTTTTTACAGCAATAAATTGTGAGCTGTTTCATTAGTGTTCCTCTAACATCGTTAATGAATTACCATGGCTTTGTGTCTTTCCAATGGCATGGTCTAGAGCTGCTCTCTACAAACGTGTGTATACTTATATCAGGGGATAAATCTCTCTACTCTCGGGTTCTCCACACTTGTCAGGGGGGAATCTCGTCTCGTCTCTCTATCTCGTCCCCTTGAGGTACGGGATCGGGAAAGTCACTTATACTTTACAGTCAAATAAGACACACACAACGGAATACGTTTCAGCTCTCGTCTTAGTCGATCTTTTGGAGCACTCTATAAGACACAGCGCCCTGGGGAAAAGTCCCCAAGACTCTCACAAGGCTGAACCAAGACTCGCCCAAGACTGGACTGCCTCAAGGCTCGCCCCTGGACTGGACTCTCTCTCCAGGACTGCACTCTCTCTACTGCGTCTATCGTGCTGTGCTCCCCAAGACCAACTCAAAACTCTCTTTATTCATTTTCAAAACTCCAACCAATTACAAAACAGTAAAAGACTCTAGGGCGTAACCTTCAATCATAAAGCCAATCACACTAAGCACTGAATACGTCATATCTTTTGATTAATCGTTCACTACATTAATAACTACGGATATAAACTGTCAAAATGAGTAGTCTAAAAAGCGGCGGTTATCTGGTAATTAGTTCCAAATCACTGAGCCAAGTTCCGTCCAAAACTTCAAATAGACCTAAACGATGACGGACATAACACAGCAATTCGCTCGTAATCAACTAATTAAGTCGGTTAACAGATACGCAAAAACAAATTCATGACAATAAATCCAATAACGTGCAAAAATTGACTAATGTAACGTTATACTTGCATCAAACGAACTGTGTTTGTTTCGATAATTAATGGTTAGATCATCGATCATTTAGGAAAATTCAAAACAAAACAAAAAGAGAATACATACGTAGCCGATGCATTTTATCGCGATTCATAGATTACCTTGGTCACAAGCGGATATCAGAACTAGATCACGAGTGATCACATTATTGCCATTTCACAACTTGACAGCTGGCCATGCGAGAAACTAGAAATGTACTACACGGATTGTAATTCTCGTGACAATAATA